TTTCAAACGATAGACTTTCCATAGAAGAAGAACATTACACACTACATCGCAGCTAAACAACCGAATAAGTCAACTATTCAGTTAAATCTAGTTGAATGAATTAACCTCAATGGAAACAAGCCAAGGTACCCTAGAACCAACCTAAACACAACACGCAAAACTCACCCACAATAACAAAAAAGAAAAACTCCCAACGGTCTCAACAGGAGAAGAATCGACTCCCATCGAGAAAATCGACACCCAAACAAACTCAAAAAACAAATTTGGATCTAGAAACTCCCTTCAAAACCGACGGCTAAATAAATCCGGACCACAATCCGCTCACCCTCTCAAAGGACACACCTTCGGGACCACCAAGAAGAAACGCTTCGAAAGTATACGGGCCACTCTTTAAAAAAAGATTTAAACCAAAATATAATGTTTTATGATATATACATTTTTGTTAAGAAAGTAGACGAGATCTACGCCTAACGGTTAGGCCATCTCATGTAAAAATAATTTTTTTTACACTATTGCCGGTCAATCCCATTAGGTAGCTTGAATTACTTAATAATTGACTTAACTCATTTTTTTTTTGGTACAGGGACCTTCCGATTTCTGGATCCACACGGGAACCGACTAATCCGGAATCAAATCGGGTAGGATCACAAGGGCGGCAAAGCTCTCCCTCAAGAGTTTTAACACTGCTGTATTCCCAATACTCGAACACGAATATAGTAGTATCGTTATGGTCGTATATATGCTACCTAAATAACGAGTATACATGAAACGCGTACCTAACATGAACAAACATCTGTCTCATGAAGATTCTATAAACGCTCCTTTCATATATGTCCCCTGATTATTTGAAGATTACTATTTTTGAAAAATATTATAATAAACAAAACATTTATTGCACCGTGCCAAATTTGCTCGTGAGAGGGGGGCTCCCTTCCTTGACCCCATAAACCGGATGTACAATATACCTAATACTGAAGAGCAATAAATTAAATTTCTTACAAAAAAAAAAAAAGAAAAAGAGGACTGAGTCATATATATTGACTTATTGGCAAAATGCTATGGTCCCGTTACGAAACTATTTCGTCGGAGTTTGTATCAGTTAGATCATCAGGTAACACTTAAAGATAATTGATCTAACAGTTACAAATCTCGACAGAATGATTCCATAACGGGACGATAACATTTCCCTGGTTGATATATATGTATGTATGTATGTATGCGGAATAAAGTGATCACATCAGGTAAACTATATAGGTGCATTTTTGAGCTATTAGCTGAAAATTTCGTTTTAGGGCTAAACAGATCGAATGGTCCTACTGATTTTAAGAGAATATATATTTGGAAAATTTAAACAGGCGAAAGGGACCATGATATATATAGGCAGAATCCTATGATGAATCACAATATTGGACTTTGAAGTTGGCCTTGGGAATAAATTATTTTGGCTTCAATTCAATTTATGAATAAAGTTGACTTAGTGGAAATTTTAAAATGTATGTTTAAAATAATATTTAATATATATATATGATTATAGTTGATTTGATGTGAAAATATGAGAGATGGTTGGAAGAGACGATTAGCTAAAATTATGAGAGTGGATGAATATTGTATCAAAGTTTATATATTGTGTTGTAATAACTTATTGATATTATTTAATTGTTTGACTATATTAAGAAGACTTAAGTTGGACTAATTTGAGTTCGATTTTTGAATTATAAAGTTGTAAAATAATTATCGAGCAAGTTAAAATTGGATTTATTTTATTTCAAATCCCTGCCTTAATTCTCTTCCATCTTCCCACCATTGTTCTTAAAGCGACACAAATGTTTGAATTTCTTTGGTTCTTACTATATAGTACTAAGTACAAATCCCATGTAATACACGCAATTATCATATATATACTGGTTAAAAATTATGAATTTGGTTAAAAATTATGAATTTCGTGCAATACATACCTTTTAACCTCTGCACCCCTTTCTCCTACTTTTCCGGTTTTTCTTCTTTTTTCTTTATTTGAAAAAAACTATGCACCCTCTCTGAAAATAATACTAAATAAGAAGCTTGGACATTGTCCATTTTATAAGTGTTTGCTAGAAATTATGACTATTATTTCACGAGAAATGCTATAGGTACATAATATTGTACATAAAGGTGTACATAACACTTATATTTAGTGGGACCTACCAAAAATACAAAACTAAGCGGACCCCACTCCATGTGAGTGTTACGCATACCTCTATGTACATTTATTATGTACTTGTAGTCTTTTCCTTATTTCACTCGTTTATATATTAATTCAAGCCTCTAATTTCTTTTTATATATTTTGAAAATATTGTATTCATAAGTGATGGATACCCACATAGTGGCCCGCAGGGGACACGTGCCCCTGTGGTGCGAGGACTTTCTATATATATATATATATACATATACTCTCTCCGTTTCTTTTTAAATATCATTTTGGTTTTATCAACTATTAACCAAAATAAATGACGTTTTAGTTCTTTTTTTACATATTTTGTCATTATTACCCTCATTTAGCTAATAAATATACTACGTATTTTCATATTCACTCTTCATCTTTCTCCCAAAACATTCATCTCCATTTTCATTAAATAAGAGTATTATTGGCAATGAAAAGATTCTTAATTACTGTGCAACTTCTCAAAACGACATATACTATGAAACGAAGAGAGTAATATATATTTTAATTGTGTTTAACTTTTTTTGTGGGCCCCAAGTACAACAAGCTCATACTCACTAATATAGTTTTTTAATTTTTCCTCCCACACCAGCAACGAGTTGTAACTCACCAACTCATCTCATACTTTGTTCCCCTTCCTCTTCTTTTGCTTCCTCTCGCATACGGCCAAATTACAAAATTTGGGTGCAATTACAGGGAAAAGAAAAAACAAATCTTTCACTAATCAAATGGTTTGAACTTCTATTTCCTCAGTTGGCTA